CTTTTAGTAAAATTATTATATTGCGGGTTTTTTTTAATAAATAAAAAAAATTAATATATTTTTTTTAATTTAGTTTCACAAATAAAAAAAATCGAAGAAATTCAAATTCTAAAAAATATATTTTTAAAGAAATTACTACTTTGTTCAGTAAGGGCACACATTGATCAAAAGTACAGTAAATAAAAAAATATTTCAAGTAAATGCTGTTCTTTTAAAATGTTTTATTCATCAATCAGTCCTGAAAAAATTGTATCATGGTTTTCAGAAAATATTGATCAGCACAACTGTTTTCAACATAGATTATAATAAGAAATATTTCTTGTGCACCGAATCAGCATATTAGAATGATTTCTGAAGGAACATGTGACACTGAAGACTGGAAAAAGACAGCTTTGCCATCACATTAATACATTTTAAATATATTAATATTATTTTAATAATTATTAAAATGAAAGATTTCTTTAGGATATCTTAAAAACAAAGCGTTATTCATTAATATTTAACGAAATCAATTTTTACTGTATCTTTGATCAAATAAATATAGCCTTTGTGAGCATAACAGACTTCTTTCAACATTTAAAAATCTTACTGACCCCGATCATTGATTCTGTTCACTTTTAAAATTAATAGTTTATCCACCACAGTTGGAAAGACAGAAACAGATTGCAAAAGGTTATTTATTTATTTTTTTATATATTTTTTTTGATTCAATCTTAATCTCAAGTTTCCATCATTTGAATTGACAAGTTGATATTCTCATTGGAGTAAACTCAGGTTGGCCCAGTATCGTCCAATTAATGTGCTGTATTCGTTTGTCACTATTTTGAGGTAGTCTGATGACTTCCCAACTTCTAGTTTGTTTGTCTCTGAAGTTTTGGTGTGTTTCACTACCTGCTGGGTTGGTCTGCTTTTGGCCCGTTAATATTCTTGAGTCGTGTTTGTTATTTTGTTGTCGCTACAGTGTGCCAGATCGTTTAATGCCTTCCACGTTCTGAAAGACTTGGCTTGAGCTTTCTCCATCTTAAAGTGGAGATTTTGTAAACGCCCTCATCTTCAGTGTTTCTGTGTCATGGCTGGTTTCAGAGCTGAGAACAACATGTAGATTGTGTCTTTGATTTTTATTTTTTCCCCCCCTCTTACATTTTCACAGTATTGATCAGCCCACAGGCAGTCATTAAAGTCTTTGCCTCGTGCTCCTGGTGGACTTTCTGTACCCTCTCTGAACTCGCCGGTCGCCGGTTATATTAAGATGCATGAGGCTCGTCTCAGCAGCAAGGTGTGCGCCTGGTGTTAAGCTCGGCTCCCCCTCTGGCTGGCTCCAGTGTGTGCTGGGTAATTAGGGTGGAGGGTGCCTGGCTGGGGAGGTGTCTGTGCTGCCATTCACCTCCCAGGCAGCATCTAATCAAATCCCACTTCAAAGCTCAGGGATTTCAAACCCGTCCTCTTCAGAGAGCACGAGACACTCCCACACACACCTCTGGATTAGCGAGGCTAAATTGCCGTCAGAAGCTAGCCTCTACTTTTGTCATGTAAATAGTAACCTATGCGTGAGCAGCATGGGTAGGTCAGCTGAGGTGTAGTCTAGTCTCTAGACGAATGCTTCCACTAGAATCAAGCAAACTCTTTCTGTTGAGTGTGCTTACTGGGAGTTTGTGTATAGATTGTCTTAAAAGTTAAATGTTACGTTATAACTATGAGTATTCACTTACTCATGAAAAGTAAATATAACAAGTCAAAAGATATTTTAGAGGCAGACCAGGTCTTTATATTTTAAATAAAGGCACCATTTTTTAAACTGAAACACCAAAATGAAAGATTTAATTCAGCAAATCCAAAACTGAAAATAACAGTTTAATATTATATAATAGTTTACATAGTCAATAAAAAAAATCAACACTGAGTTGAATGCAAACATTTAAATAGCAAATAAGGCCGTTTTTAATGTTCTTAACTTTTTAATGATGTAATAATGTTTCTGCTTAAATTTGCTGTTGAAATATAAACATGTAAACAGTGTTTGTAATAACATGACAGATTTATTTAAACATACATTAAATAATAAAGACCTCTCTAACAGGTAAAGTATAAATATAATGCTCCTCGAGAGTTTTTTTTGTTTTCTCTCGAACTATCAAGCTTATGGACTTGAAACGGCTTTCCTGAGGTAAATGTAACATTGTGACATTTATTTACAATCTGTTTTATTGACATCTTTCTATGGTTGAAATACTGGTTGAGTGATTACATCACCCATGATACATTTCAGGAAGTTATTCTGTATCTGTCCGTATCTTTTCTAAATGTTTGTTCTCTTAATTATTTTTTTTTTGTTTTTATTTATTTATTTTTTTCATTCATGTTTATTTTGTGCTTCAACTAGGAATGAAGTGAAAGAGATGATCGGTTCATGTGCCACTTAAACTGAGGCAGATAAAGCTGTCTTTAACACCACTTTAAAGAGTGTCAGAATAACATTTATGTTTGAATTCTTATAAAATTGAATTTTGTAATTATAAGGTTGAAGACGTGCTCGTAAATTTTGAAAACTAAAAACAACTGAAAAAAGCATAGACTAAAAGATTGATCTTGGGATTTAAAAACTGATAATGGTTCATCAAAAATGACTTCTTCCTTTTTTTTTTTCAAAAAATTAATATTGTCAATCTATCTTGCATCCACGCAGCCGACATGATTACCAGCTGTAGTTTATACATGTTGTGTGTATATGAAAGACTCTTGACAGTCAAATGCACCATCGGAGAAGCACTAATTAAACATCACCATTTCTGTCAGTAATTTCGCTATCTCACAAATTTTGTAGGTTTAAAATTATGAAGTCAAACGTATTTCTTCGGATTAACATGCACCAATGAATTTTGATTTCATGTTGACTTTAAAATGCCAATTTAATCAACCTATTCACCTTACCTCAGTATCAGTAAGATCACTTGTAAGACCATTTGGATTAGAGCTTGTGAACTGGATTTTTTAATTTATTTTTTTTACAGAGGAAAAGGGTGACTCTGAGGATGATGAAGGCCTTGAGGACCTCTCAGACCTGAGCGATGATGATGATGATGAAGAGGATGTAGATGACTTGGAGGAGGATGATTCAGGTGATTTATATGTTTCTGTAGAGCTAGGATTGGCTTTGTTTAGGGTTAGATATTCACTATGTCTGAGAAATCTTCTGTATGTTTTCAACATAATTCTGCTCATATTTTTCAAGTAGGTAGCATGCCATTTATCTTTTCCCCATTTTTGTCATTGTCTCAGATGGTGACCAGAAGAAGCCCTCGTCTTCTAAAGGCAAAGCACCGAAGAAGATGTTGAGCACAGAGCTGAAGGAGGTGGCTGAAGGAGATGAAGATATGGTTGAGGACCTGGAGCTCTCTGATCAGGACTAAAGTCACAGTGTTACGTCAGAGGGTCATTTCCATACTGTTATTAAAGCAATAGCTCACCAAGAAATTAAAGAGCCATGTACAGCCCCTGTTGTAGTAATTAAGGTTTTTTAATTGTATCTGTATTTTATAAAGTGTGAAACAAAACAAATTAATCTAACATTTCACAAGGTTGTCAAATTAAAAAGACCTTATTAAAACTCTGAACTTTGTTTTAAAACTACTAAAGGCTATCTTTTTCAGCTCAGTATTTGGAGATGTTGCATTGTGCCGAGGGCACTGCTTGTGTTTAGAGGTGGTGAATGGGTAGGCCAGAGGCGGGAGGTGGAGGCACGGGGTCGGCCCTGAGCACCAGGCTGCCAAACGCTCGTATCATCCACTGCCAGGCTGTGCTGCCCAGGTGGGGAGAGAGGAAGAGGCGAAAACAGAGAGCAGCCTGTTCTCTCGCCAAAACATCTCTCCCCTTCAGTGCTTTCACGTCACTTTCTGAAACCGCTTGGCATTTTCAAAGTGTTTTAAAGCAGCGTTTAAGCTGCCAGCACTCCACACAGCTCTAGTAGTGCTGTGGGAAATTGGTTAAGAACGACAACTATACTAGAATAGTCAAAAAATGAAATTTGTCCTCATTTACTTTTAACAATTTTTTTTTGACTCGAGCTGTTTCTTCCAGTTCACATGATTTGTTTAGGAATTAGCCTGATCTCATTCTTGAGATCAACCGATATGGTACGGTTCACTGGAGAGAAAAGCTATTCACAGATGATGACTAATTTAGGTCTGTCTCAAACCTAACATAAGACATCAGAAGACTCTGAATATGAGGACACATCATAAAAACTTTAGTGTTTCTGCATCCTTTTTGAAGTCCACATTCACTGTAATTGCAAGGAAAAACATGTCCAAGACATTCTCTTTTTGTGTTTTATGAAAGTCAAAGGTTTAGAACACCTTAAAGGGTCAATAAATGGTAACATAATTTTATACCTTTTTAAAATCATCCTCTCTTATGCTCACAACTGGGTGTAACAGCTGGTGTTTATGGCTGAAGCATCTTCCCTGTTGCATAATGGGAGTGTGAGCATATATATTTTGCGTTCTGTTCTTTCCATCACTCCCAGCTTGAGGTGCTGTTCGGAACGTCAAGCAACGTTAAATTCAGGCCACCGTGACTGAACGTCAGCTGGGCTACATTAGAGTAAATTCAGTTTGCACTAGAGCTGCCGCACGCATCATGCCGGTGTTTGCGTGAGTCTGGGTAACAGGTTTACTCGTCTATCACATGCAGCACCTGGCGCTGACAGTCACGGGTGTAGTAAAAAAGATTTTTTTAAGGGGCGGATGGTGGACGTCCCTGAGAGTCAGTTGTTTTTTGGATTAGGTGGGGGCCACAGGGGCCCTGGTCTGTGGCTGAACCTGACGCTCTGACAGCTGTTGTTGACCTGAACCCTGCCCCACCCCTCCACATGCTCCCTCCCCTAACCAGGGGATTTACCGTCCGCTGGGGCCACCACTCCCTGCCCTACTGTGGAGGAGTTTGGAAATAAACATATTACTCAAAGAAAATAAGAGGAGAGCGCATCTGCAAGTTTGCAATAGGATTTATTTCACCCAGCAGAGAATAGAAAAATAGGATGAAGACAAAACATTGATGGGAAATCTAGAGAATATTTTAATTAATTGCTTACATATTTAAAAAGAAAAAACATTTCAAAGATTTGCATAAAGAGCTTTGTGCCTTCCATTTCCCTGCAACAAAGAGAAAAGTATTGTTCTTTGGGATCAATTTAAGGACAATTTTATATTTTGTTGCTCTAACTACAGCAAACAAATTCCTATACATATTTTTTTTTTCTCATTTATATGCTGAAGTGGCATTTAAGTTTGGGGCTCATGATTATTACAACTGTAATACACAGCAAACAGAAAAAGATGAACAAAAGTACCACCGAGTCAGCCAGTCACATTTTGTTCAGTAATAAAGATTTTTAACTCGTGCAACTACATTTAACAAAACGTACCACTTATTTCATCTTCAGTATATTCTCATCTTGAGCATGTTTCTGTACAATTCAGGATAACATGTCTTTCCCACAGCAGTAAGTGTGACCTCACAATGGCATTAATCCATCTATGAACAGGCATCGGGAGGGATGTCCATCCTTCCCTAATGCTCTTTTTCTCGCGGGGTCGTGAAACTAAAACGGGCCCAGATGTTTGTCGGGTGAGAGTTTGGGCCATTGCTTTGGCTGATGGCTTTTGGTCACAGGAAGTCTAAGTGCTTTACACCTCTCTTTTTGAGGTCCTTTTCCATTTCACTTCCTTTAGTACGGCGCCCTGTATGTGTACCTTGTTTCGTCACTGGTGAGATCAATGCTAGATCTCGTTTGAAAATTCCACATCCATCCGTCTTTGGTTTTGGACTGTGGAATGCATAGTTGCACTGGTCAAGACTGCAAATGAGTTCCATCCTGCTCTTATATTTACTCCTCTTTGGAGGATTTAGTCTTTCGAAGCGAAACCAACTCCAGAGAATTTAAAACGGCTGGAAGTTGGAGAAGTTGGCGTGAAAGCAGAAAAAGAAAGCATCTCTTTCGAAGTTCACCCGTCCCCAAGAATGTTAGGTACCACAAGAGTTCATCGCAGCGAATGTTGCTTTCCTACAACATCTGACACAAAAGAATGTCGTATGTGTATGTTCGCTGGATGCGTCTCCCTTCCTTCTGGCATGCCGTTTAAGAGCAGCTGTCTGCTCACGTTCATCTCTCGCACACTCTTAACGCTTCCTGTCTCGTCCCCAAGTCCCTATTTGCACATCTTTGGATTTTGGCTTCCATACAGCCGCTGCGAGGGGTGGAGCTGTTTTAGCCCGTGTCGTTTCATCAGTGTCTCTCGTCTTTCTGCACACTTTTCCTAAAAAGATTAAGTGCCTCTGCATAAAGGTCCTCAAGTTTGCTTTTTATTTCGGGAGGGGAGGGGGTGGGGTAGAGGGGGTAAGAGGAAGGAAAGAATAGTTCAAAGAGGGCCCCCTTCATGCCCTCTCTCTGATTTTACCTCCTCCCTGAAGCACTGCCTCTGCCAAATGGAGAAGCAGTCAAGAGTTTTAATGGCCAATTCTACGAGGGAGGTTTAGTGGAGTCGTAAGCTCCCGCTGAGGAGGGGTTTCCGTTCTCCTGTTTGGGGGAGGCGCGACAGGCAAGAGGGGGAACGCTGAATGGGGAGGAAGTGCTGCCGGTAGAAGGAGGGCGGGTCTCAGTGGGCAGGGGGTCTCTGTCCGTGGGGCGCAGAGCAGATGGCGGCAGCGGGAGGGCCAGCGGGAAGCTGGTCATGTAGAATATTCTGCCAATACGTCGCGCCACCTGAGGAAAGCAGCCACATGCCAGCGTTACTTCTCACACTGTAAACCCAACAGGAAGTGCACAAGGATGTACAGTTCCAGTGATACAAGATGATTGCTTTCATGTCTGCTTAGATTAATGAATGCAGAATTGTGATTACACATAAACAAAGACAAAAGAAGTGGTCCTATTTATAGGTCAGGGGTAGGCAAGTTCAGTCCTAAAAAGTCTGGAAAAAAAACTCACTTTGCTTATAGCCTTAGTAATCCTGAAGACATTAATTAGCTTGTTCTGGTGTGTTTGATTAGGGTTGAAGTTAAACTCTCTAGGACCAAAATTGCCTGTCCCTGCTATAGGTTAATGGGGCTGTGGGCAAGGTTACGAAAGTTGCCCCACAGGTGTAAAAATTACAAATATCTTCTAGCCAGAAGTTCTAATCTGCCTCATGTATTACAGACCATCTTGTGGGCCCCCAGGTACTGTTCGCAGTTACTGGGGGAACCAAATTTGGAGACTCTACGCCAGTAGTGTAGTCTCCTGCTGCTGGTGGGCCACTTCAGTGCAAAGTTTCGATCCAGTCTTATCCATTGCACCTGCTCAGATGTTTTAAGTGATCATGAAGACCCTGATTAGCTTGTTCGGTTGTGTTTAATTAGGGTTGAAGCTAAACTCAGGAAGGTGGCCCTCAAGAAGCAAGATAGGACACTCTTTCTCAATGGCAGGGATGGGCAACTCTGGCTATTGGGATGCCTCTGTTCGGCAGAGTTTAGCTCCAACCCTGATCAAACTCACCTGTAATTCTAAAGATCTTGATTAGCTTGTTCATGTGCGTTTGATTAGGGTTGAAGTTAAATTCTGCAGGGCAGTGAGGACAGAGTTGTCCACCCTTTCTCTAAGGTATACCTGCCCACTATTATTGCAACTTGTACAGTCCTGCTCCTGGAGAACTATTGTCCTGTAGTGTTTAGCTATGCCCTATTTACAGCTATTTAAACACACCTGAATCAGCTAATCAAGTTCTCAGGATTACTTGACAGAGAGGTGTGTTGAAGTAAGGTCTGCATAAAATCTGCAGAACAATGGTGCTCCAGGAGCAGGATTTGACACCCCTGATACAGCAGGTCATTTTTTTACCTGAGAGCGGATCTTGAGGGCAGGCCCTAGTTTCAATCCCATGTTGTTGAGCAGGTGGTCTTCCGTCAGCAGTGGCAGAGTCTCGCCGTCGATGACCTGCTCTCTGAAGACCTGAAAGAGATGATTTGGCTTCAGCTGATGTTGATGAACATGCACCAACTCACTCCACATGCACACAATTCATGTGACTCTCATTCCACAGGGAGGCTCATGCACACTCGGCATCTCCAGTGAAATGAGGTACACTGTGGTCGACAGTGGGGTTTTGGTGATGCGTTGCACATGCGACAGAGTGACATCCAGTGTGGTGAGATGTGTGAGACAGAGCTGTGAGTGAGAAAGATAAGAGCAGCGCAGAGCGGCCTTCTAACTTTTTAAAGTACGCTCTAGAAACATCTAAATCAAGCTATTCTGGTCTAATGTTCTCGTCTACGAATTGCAGCACATGATCTCCATTCTGTGCTGTACTGTATGTCTCCAGTAGCCCCTGTTAAAGGCAGGGGGAGGAGAGGAGGCGTCCAATGCTCTGCTCCTGCTCTTGTCCTCACCTGTGTATACTCCCCACAGCCTGCTAGGCTGCTGATGAAGCTGCACACCTCCTCCACACTCCACTTGCTGATGTCCTCGGCTGCTCCCGCCTCTTCTCCGTCCACGAAAAGACCTCCCATGGCGCCTGTGGGCCCGCCGGGCCGAGAGGAAGAAGAAATCATTAGAGACAGAAGGCCTCCTGTCCCCTTGCGCCTACACACCGCTCTGTTATTGACCCTGCCTATTACAGAGTTTAGTAAATGTCAGCGACAGGGCCCCTTCCTGGGGGAGGTCTCTCAGCTGGAGCAGGTAATGCGTTTCAGATGGCTAAGGTTGCTCTGCACTTATTCAAGCTAGGTGGGGACAAACACTTCAGCTACTAGCCTTTAACTAGATACTGTATTAATGCTGGGCTGAACCTTATATGCTTCTTTAATGTGTTGATATCTCTTGAAATCATTTTTTACCACACAATTCTGTCGTGTTGTGAAAGTAACTTTGTTTGAGGAACAACCCCAAATGTATGTTCCTGACTTCTTTCATGGTACTTCATAGTATTTTTTGTTGGTGTTGGTGTTTTTTATAAAGCCTGACAGCTGTGAATGCCATACACTTAGATTTATAGGGACAAGAAAAACCTGCATGTTAATTTTGTCTGTAAACAATGACAGAATTTTGGTTTTTGGAACTATCTTTTAAGAAGTCGTGTTTGTGTGCTTGTTCGCTTTCTGTCTAATCCTATCAATGGTACAATGAGACTTGTATGTTGGTATACTTGTGCATTTTGTGTGTGAGCCCAAATCTTTTTGTATGTTGCATGTTCAGTATTTGCTAGAATGCCTGAGGAGGGTTAGCTCAGCTTCTCTCTGAGTTGGTCACTTCCTCATTAGGAGACTCATTTTCCATTAAAACTTGCTCTGGGCTTGCTTGCACTCTGGGCTCAATTTCTCAGTTTCTCTAACTCTCTCGCTCCCTCTTTCTGTCTGTCTGTAAGGAATACTATTTGAACTCCAGATTTTACAGATAGTTAAAGTTGAGGAGCAGGCATATGGTGTCACTAACACTAGTGCGGTGTATGTTCGTTTTAAAAAAGTGCATCGGGTGAGTTTACTGAACTGGAATTGGAGGCTTTTGTATATGAAAACTGTCCCTAAATGTCTCTAAAATGCAGTATCTCTCATTGGATGTGATTGGGTTTTGTTATCTGAATTTTAAAGACCTGTAAACTCACCGGTGTGAAAGTAAGGGCTGGTGTATGGAAAGGTGAAGGGCAGAGCTTGTCCAGGCAAGGTGGGTAAGGGTGGGATTCCTGGTGGCAGGTATTTGGCCTCACTCTTGCTCAGTCCTGATGTGAAGAGGTGGTGGGTTGGTGACTCTTGGCCAGTGGAGCTACAAGGAGCACTGAGCCTCCCTGACCGCTCCCCCAGCTCTTTCACCGCTTCACTAGTCTTAGTTACATCCTTGCCTTGGCACACACCTGATCCGAGACCATGTCCATCAACTTTGGAAAGCCTCTCAGGCCTGTCTTCCCCAACCTCTGCATCATTCTCAAAGTCTTTCATGTCTTCATCCTGTCCCTCTATTTCTCCATCCCGTGCACAGCCCTCCCCAAGCATCTCTTTAGTCTCAGATGAACCCCCATGTTGGTCCACTCTGTGTGGTCCTCCTTTCCTCAAGCTCTTCCTGTTGCTAAGGTCTTTAGAGGAAGTTCCTGCTGCTGCCCCCTGGTGGTTGAGGGAGAGTAATGGGGTGTTGTTGTGCCGCAAAACCAGCATGGCGTTGCGGCGATTGAGCTCCTCTCGGAGTGGGTGGCCCTCTGGGATTTCTTGCAGGCTCCGCAAGGCAGGGTGTTCTGCAGGGAGCCCAGGATGAAGGCCCAGCGGGTCCACCAGCAATCGCTGCCTGTGGAGGTTCTCTAACTCCTTCTGTCTCAACAGTTCAGCAGACATTTCCAACCTGGAGGAACAATCCACAACCATTTTACTTTTGAATAAAAAATTTAACAAAAATATATAAATTTTTTATTTTGATTACAAAGATATCTGGAGTAACGTACACACATGAATCACTCAAAATAAAACAAAGAACATGTATAAGTACATGTAAGTAATCAGGGTCTGTTTTGATGTCGTGATGACTTTAGTAAATTGTTACTTACATGCACTTACTTATTGTGTGGTGTTATGGTAATGATACAGGGTTTCTCTAACAGTTTGGTACAACTGCGGCAGTATGGTAATGATACAGGTTCTTTACCATAACAATTTACATCTGTACCAGACTGTTAATGATATTGATTTCCAACAGTCTAATACGGCTGTGCAGGTTTTTTAAGTCAGGCACAGCTGTACGGTGTTATGGTAATGATACAGGATTTAAACCGTCTGTTTTAGTTGTGCTGTGGAATGCTAACAATACAGATTTTGAACAGTTTAATATGTTCATGTGGCGTTATGGTAATGATTCAGGTTTTTTAAGGAGGTACACAGTTATACAACATTATGGTAATTAACAGGTTGCCAACAATCTGTTACTGCAATGTACTAACAATACAGGTTTCCAAAGTCTAATACAATATGGCTATGTGGTGTCATGGTAAAGCTGCGTTCTCTTCCATCGGTTATTTTTATCGCTCCCCCCGGTGCACGTGAGCCACCGTAGCCCATCATCAGTCCTGTCACGCTGCGGACAGCGGCACTGTTTGTATCCTTGCCCCCCCACCACCACCACAACAACCTCCATCATCTCCTTGCTCTCGCTCCCTCCCTCTTGCTCTACCGTGCTCTGTGGCCCTGCCACTCTGGTAATGAGGCCTGAATGCACAATAAGAGCATGTCATACTCCGACAGCTGGGGCGGCCCCCCAGCCTCGCCCGGGCTACAGGCTGAAGCACCCACTAATTAACACAGTTCTTCCTCTTCCACCCCAACACACACGCATACATCCCCCTCCTCTTTTTGTCTCTCTCAGCTGTATTCAGCCAATAAAAAAGTGGCGTGTTGCGTAGCCTCAATTATATTTTTTTCCTTTTGTACAGGCGGAGAACACAGGATGTTCGAATACAATACAGCGGCCGCCTTTATTGAGCCCTGGCGGGGGAGAAGAAAACGAGAGGAGGGGGAAGGAGAGAAAAGGAAGGAGGGGGAAAATATGAAGACGTGTACTATGACTGCTAGTGACAAGGTGTTGAAATCCAGGCAGATCCTGCAGTGTCTTTTTAAAGCTTTTTACTGCTCCTCTGCCAATGCAAGCCCCTCCATTTACAGCAACTCTTCACTGAGCCCCCCAAAACACACGCTCACACATGCATAAATATAAATGAAACCCAACGCGCCTAAAGCAAGCGAAAGAACAGCGCGGTTGCTTTGTACTTGTGACTGAGCAACGCTTGCTCAGGGGGAGAGACTGAGCAACACAGCACAACACAAACACATAAACGTCCAAAGAGAAGAGACGAAAAAGAACAAAAAAAACATTAGAAATGAGGAGAGAAGCCACATTTTGCTGTCCTCTACTTAGGTTTTACATAATTTAGTAGCTAAATAGCCCTTGCGTGTCTTCTTTGAGCAAAAACAAAGAAGAAATCTAAAAAACAGAGGGAGACATGGAATGAGTGTGTGTGTGTGTGTGTGTGTGGACGGAGGGGTGGAGAAGGGTGTGGAGAGACACGGGGGAAATCACCGATCGATTGAGCGGCTGTTGAAATGTTAATGCTAATCGTATAACCGCTTTCCGCCGGTGCCTTGCACTTCTGTAGCAGCTCCAATTAATCTGGAAGAAGGCAGCGCGTGACCTTGGGGCCGGGAGTCGGGCCGGCAGCCCAGCCATGCTTATGTAATTACACTGTGAAGTGTGTAATCACCTGGCCTAATCCCTCAGGCCTCACAATTAGCCCGGGCGGCGCTGGCCAGGCCTGCCAAACTCTGCGCCGCCCTGCGTGGCCCACAGATGAATAACGGTCAATTAAAGCTGCATGACTGGGGCCGCGAAGCGTCCGCTCAATAGTAATTAGCTGTAATCATGGGGAGACGTGCCCGGCAGACGTGCTTCTCCTTTTATAGGAAGCAATTTTGGAATGACGCAAGCATTAACCGTTTCACTCTGGGTCTTTGGCCCACAGAAAAAGAAAAATGGGGTAGAGAGCAAGGAAAAAACTGCGCGGATAGCAGGGACTATGATTCTGCTTTAATGTGTATTCTCACATATAATATTAAAAATGTCAATTTAAAAGCTGCAGTGTTTGACTAGTGGCACCAGATGACGTTGCGAAAATGAAGTTACCTTTTCTCTGTGCAATAAAGAGTTTCACCCAAAAATGAAAAATTCTCTCACAGATAGAATTCAAATGATATTGTTATTTTTAAAAATCTCTCAGTGTTACTACCCCATTTACTTTCATTCTTTAGAATATCTTCTTTTGTGTTTCACAGATAAAAAATAATAATACAGATTTGAAACGCATTAAGTAAATGATGACAGTATTTTCAATTTTGGGTGAACCATCCCTTTAAGTAGAGATAGGGGGGAAGTATTTTAACATTAAAAGAAATTGCACAAGGCAGCTTTAAAAATGTGTTACATTTATTTCCAGTACACTGACTGCTTCTCAGTTTACTGGCTTAATTACCTCTACATCTTTTGAGAACTACCTCTGTTCCTCCACCCTGCCCCGTCTCTCCTTTTCTCTATCTGTCGATCTCTCTCTAGCTCTCTCGCAACCTAACTGGCGGTAGGGCAAGTAGACGTCACTTGTGTTCGCTCATGTGTGACGACCTGTCAGAGTGGCAGCGGCGGTGTGGAGTGTTGTGCATATGTGTGTGTGTATTTGTGTGTGTGTAAAGGCGGAGGCAGAGCACCAAACTGGCCAGACGAGAAAGAGAGAAAAGTGGAGCGGAGCTGACAGGATGGCCCTTAATGAGAGGAGCGCGGGGGATTAGCCACTCGCCACACCGTGCCCGCCTCGCCTTGACTCGAGGCGGGAACACATTTGCACAGGAAGCACATTAAAATGCATAAGGCTCTTGCTCACCCACCGCCCCCCACCCCAGACCACTGTCTGTTGCTTGTGCTGCCCCACATGCCAAACACATTAGGATTTGCCTTGCAGATTTCCCTAAATGCAATCTGCCATTTAAAACCAGACAAATGGCCGGCCGTGGCTGCAGGACTATTGATCTTGGTAAAGATTTGTTTTTAACAATAGCCACTAATGGGCGTTACATAATCAATTATGAGTCGATAGAAAGGTGAGCTTGAGGAATGGCTTTTGGCTCACCGTTTTAGCCTGGTCAACTCTCTGTCAATGCTTTAGAGGGTTTGCAATGTCACACGGTCTGCGCTAAAAGCTTTTAGCCCATCCAAAAATTCAGGTTTTATATATATATATATATGTATATATACTGTATATATATATATATATATATACATATATATATATAACATTATAAAGACTTGTAACACTTTTATGGCCCATTTTTTTGGCATTTTGTAAGCTTGAAATCTTTGGTCCCTGCTCATTGTAATTGAATAGAAAAGAAAACAGTTTCTCATATTGTGATACAAAGAAGGTAAAGGTGAAGGTGAAAGGTTTGTAACAACCTGAGGGTGAGTAAACAATAACAGAATTGGGTTATTTAACCCATAAATGTGCATTGTATCAGTTTTACAATTTTCCAAGCTAAAAAAAAAAGTCAAACAAAGGGTTAAAGAACCGATGAACCAAAAAAAATGAGTGTGTAGAAGTGAGAAAAAAACACTTTCCTCCCTCCCTCTTTTCACCCACAACCTAGGAAGTGTGCAGGCCTCGTTAACATCAGCGGTCCTGTGTGGCTAATTACCATGAGCTGGCGGAGCTGCGGCGGCTGGCTGGTCAAAGCTGCACGCTGAGATCCTGATATGATGCTGCGCTGGGCCAAGAACCGAACAGAGTTCCCCCACCCACGCTGTGCGACCCCTCCCAATTCACTTCCTCCCAACCGCCTCGCCTCGCCGGCCCATTATCGATCCTCCAGCTTCCCGCGCCACATAAATAATCGACAAGCAATTACCTGCCTACTCCCGCTGCCCGGGCTTTGTTTGGAGGCGGAGGGGAGCGCCGCAAGCACAGTGGCCTTGCTGAGATGAGGAAAGAGGAAGGAGGAGAGATATTCAGGGGGAGAAACCTTGCAGGGAGGGGGAACGGCATGTTGTCCTAGCGACTCGTTCGGTCCTGAGCCCTATAAATGCCTCCTGACAAGATCAAATCGAACAGGGTTGCGAAGGGGTCATACACAGAGATCATGCCCACTGGCACATCCCATTAAGTGGATTTTCTATTCTTTCCGTGGCCTTAACGCCAACTTCCATTTTTCCCTCTTCCATTACTTTGGTGCATAATTCAATTTTTCCCTATTTTCTCTTCAGCAGGCAGTCACCCACTCCAACATGCATGCAGTATTCATTAGAGTCGGATGTTGGCTTCATTATTAATGTAAAATATTCATGTTATTTTAAAGCTTAGCATTTTTTCCTGTATCCGTGGTCTTAAAGTGTGCCTCAGAGGTTTCCATTCAGCAGAAGGGAATTTATCAACCAAACGCACACGCACGCTTACATCTCATCCACTTTTACACTACAATCTAGAGTAAAGAAAGCGTATGTGTGGTTTCAGCCACAGTCCAAGCGATCTCTTCTGTGTAAATCTTCTGTGTAAAGTTTTCCTTAAACGAACTGACAGTGTAACAAGTAACAGGGATAGAATATTTTGGCATTCTAACAAGGGATAGAATATTTTGTCAGTCATTTGATCTCTATTTCTGCGTCGCACTAGGTAGTGCCATCAACTGTGAAATCTCTTTGGCCCAAATTCTTTTGCCACATAATTTGACAGTAAACATCAAATATCTCCTTTTTAGTCCGAGATAGTGATAGATGCTTGTCACTAAAAATTGTTGCATAATGTCTGGTTAGGACACCATGTTGAGTTGTAGGACCATGTTGCCCATCACAAAGCAAAAGGAGGTGAAACTAATATGACAGACTGAACATACATTTAGTTTACAATCTGACATTTTAGATAAAAAGCATGCAAAAGAGAGATTCCAAAGAATACGATGTTGTGCATGTGCATTACCGCTCAGGGAAGTGTGTGTCTCTGTGTTGGGGAAGCCCCTGCTTGCGCCGCTGGCTGGAGGAGCTGCCTGCAGTGGGGATGTGAGCTTCCATTCCTCCCGGGATTCTAACGGCAGCCATGGCTTCCTGACGCACACGCAGCAGCTCTGTGAATGGAACGAACAGACCAGTTAAATTGAGAAACTCGTCCGGTCTGTGTTGTCAGCGCCAAATCTGTCAGTCTAGCTCTGAACCAACACTGCAAGACTCAGTCCAAGAGTCCCAGAGCAGGATAAGTTAACCGTAAATATGAATCTTTAAGAACTGTTTAAGAAAAACCAGGGTCATCTATTTCAGTGTCACTTCTCCACTGTTCAACATGGAGCTCCCAATTAAGCACTGAGCATTATGGGATATAAATGAGTGAACATATCGTTTATTGACAAATAGGGCTGGGTGATAAATCGATAATGATAATTATCACGATATAATTTTCCTCGATAAAACGATAACAGTTGGTGGCTCAGCGCGAGCTCACTGGAGCAGAAATGAGTCTCGTTCACACGAGCACTAAACAGCACAGTGAGATCCAGTGTGAAGCGCTTGAATTCAGCGAAAAACACAAATGACTCAGTGACTTAAACTAGTTTAAAGCCAGATAAAACAGCGCTGACAAACAGGAGAAACACTACACAGTCAGAAGGCTTTTCAATCTATAAACTGCCATCATTTACCATGGATTTACTGTAGTAACACTAACTGAACCATGGTATTGTGGCAGAAATGTGGAATATTCATATTTAATTTTTTTTTATTATTATCGTAGACATGTATTAAATGTATTAAAGGAGTAATGGAATATAACAGTATTTTTGTGATTAAGTTATAGCATTTGTGCATTTATACTAAATGTATTTAGACTACTGTTTTTCATACAAATACCTAGAAACCATATAGTTATATTTTTACCATGGTACTGAGGTGCTGGGGTTATCATGATCAAAATGAATGTTACTATGGACGAACGGTTCCTTTTAATAAAACTCGGAATAATAAAAGTCTTAAAAACTTAATAAAAGTCAGAATAATTAAGAATAATTGAGGTTGTTACCATCTTCACAGATGTTACTGATTTTGATAATAAACATAAATTTACATCTGCATCCTAACTCAAGCTACTACTACTATCAAATGTGCATTTCTAAAAAACAAATTATTATAAATATTATCAGGCAACACAAACCTGTTTCTTGATTTGAAACAATATCTCTCATTAGAACATGCAGAAACTAAGAAATTAATTTTTTTATTAAGGTATTTATGTTAAGGAATTGACTAAGGTTATTTTGTTAAGGAAAAATGACTGGAAAAGTGACAAGAATTCAAAAACGTGAAGCGTTTGTCATGTTCTGACCATAAAAAGTAGTTTAAAAGCACAATTAATTGTCTGGTTTCTACAACTTTCACTTTGGAGCAAAAATCTGCCTTTACACTTGAAAGAATGCCTGATTAGATAGATATTGTGATAACTATCGATATTGACTGATATGAAAAAAATTATTGTGATAATTTATTATATTATTATTATATTATATCATGATAATTGTTTTGGCCATATCAACCAGCCCTATTGACAAATATAAGATATCTCATTAAAGAGGTGGTTCACTGTTTTTTTTCTAGGATTGATTGTGTTTATGGGTGCAGTCTAATATGTGTTAATGCTTCGTTTTTTTAAAAACGCATTATTTTTCACATCATTTATCTTTATTCCACACCGCTCTGTCCCTTCTCTGAGAAACATGCTGACCATTTCCTTCTTTTATGAAGCCCCTCCCTCAGAAATAGGCGATGGGCTCGGCTTGGTTAGCTAGCCCAGTGTGTTGTGATTGGCTCAACCGTCTCTAGTGCGCGTCTAAACGTCCCGCCCTTCACCTCAGCGGCATGTGCTTCGGTTGTATTGTAAACAACGGCGTTGTTAATATCGCTTATCAGTTTGAGCTGGATTGAGAAGCAGAGGATATTATTGAAGAGGATCGTGCAGAACCTGTGCAAGCACTGCTTTTAATGGTAGGCCTCTGTTTTTTGTTTGTTGTTGTCTCATACTTTTAGATACGCTGTTATTTGTAAATGCTACTGCTTATGTTAGCTTTTAATATACGGTTTTATCCTGATTAAAGCTTTAATACAGTACGGCAACTACATGCATGTCCATGTTTAACGCTTCTCATAGCTATGTGAAAATAAGTGTATAATTGTAACAGTTCATTGTTGGAGCTGAGCTGAATGAGAGAGAGAGAGAGAGAGAGAGAGAGAGAGAGAGATGCAGAGCGTGTGCAGAGCAGGGGGACGCGAGGAACAGTATTAAGAACCGCTGCTTTAGAACATTGATTTAGAAACTTGTGAATCCATTAGAATCATTAGAAGACACCTCTAGGTTTTACTTCCTCTTTTCTAAAGCAGCGCAGCATGGCCTCGCCCCCTTTGTTGCCTTTTCCCGAGGGCTGGGTTTATCTGGGTTTATGACATCATGAACCCGGGAAGTAACTTCTTGTAGTCTCTACCAGCCGTTTTTGTAGGCATTAAACTGCCAGAATAAAAGACGATATCTCCGTTTGCATTGAACTTTCAGCTTTGTAACTTTGCAGATATTGCTTATGCTCAAACAGCAACATTACACATTAATTAACGTTAAAAAAGTGAAATCGCAATGAACCACCCCTTTAAAATAAACTCAGTTTGACTCAATTTGAGGTATCATTCATGTTCGTCGCATAAAACAGTGCAGGATGTGCTGGAATGTAATAGTAAGGAGTTAGTTCACCAATCCTTAGCAAACAACACTAATAAAAGGCAATAAAATAAAACAAAGCTAGAAAACAACTACATGACTGAAATATAAGTGAGCCGCTGGTTTCCCTCCTGAATCTGTGATGTTAGACAAGCCCAGACCATCTCCCAACATTACCAAACTAACAGGGTCACCACAGGAAGCGCACTCTCTAATGAAAGGGTGTTAAATAGAAAATCCATCCTGCATGCCTCCCTCTCTTCCTCTCCCTCACTCTCATCTCTCGCTCCCTCTCTCCTCTGGCCCTTTTTTAATTAGACGGTTCCCTCGGGAGCTGGCGGCCATTTCCGAGGCTGGCGTGTGGGCCTGAGTGATCGGGTCGGAGGCACCGCGACAGATATTAATGTGCACAGGCCCGCTGTATTGATCTGTTTATTGCACTGCCCCGCGGGGGCCCGGACTGACAGCGGACAAACCTCTAACAGCTCGTGAGAGGGAATAAAAAAGAATGAAAAAAAGGAAGAAGGAAAACCACTGTGGAAAAGCAGCAATGCTTATCATTTGGTCACATACTCATTCCAGATGACCCAAAAAAATTAGTAGTCTGTCCACAAACATTATATATAACCTGCTGCAAAAATCTGGTGAAAGCTTGTAGATGGCTGCATCCGAAATCGCATACTTCCTTACTATATAGCATGTCTGAATTCACAGCATTCATAAAACAGTAGGTAAAAGTGTGACCCACTCAGTAATGAGCATTGAACAGACACTTTACTATCCCATTAAGCCACAAGAGAGGATTTGTGAATGGCAGTGACACTGGTAAATCATATGACAATGACAACATACTACACACATATTTATACTAAATAGAACATACTTTTTTTAATGGTCGCAAAGTAATTACTTATTTAAAAGAAGTACCTATTCCAGGGTTAGGCAAGTTTGGTCCTAGAGAGCCGCAGTCCTGCAGAGTTCAGCTCCAACCCTGAAAACAAAACTCACCTGCCTATAGCCTTAGTAATCCTGAAGACATTGATTAGCTTGTTCAGGTGTGTTTGATTAGGGTTGGAGCTGAACTCTGCAGGACTGCGGCTCTCTAGGAACGAACTTGCCTACCCCTGACCTAGTCAGAGAGTAAGTGATTTCCCATGTGTTTTGGTAAATGGTAGCTGGTTTCTAGCACATCACTGATACTCCTAGACCATCTTGGACAGGCAACAAACCTTCTAATATCCAGCTGCTGCTACCACCACCATATTCCAAAACACACCTATCGGCTTTCCAGCAGGGTAAAACAGTCCCAAAATCCAGTAAAACTCAAAGCTGCTCTGAAGCCCTTTCCTCGGTTGCCCAGAGATGAATTATTCCCTTTAACCTGCAACAGAGTTAGCACAGGGTCTCCTAGGGCTGCACGTACAAGCACACCACTCATCCAAACAGTGACATCCTGACACCCATGCTACCATCTCCCACCCACATTCACCTCGCGTCCTCTGTCACACCCCGAATTTGCATCATCTGAGTCAGTGTTACTGTGGAATCTTTAACTAGGGAGAGCTCCCGTGGTAAAGCATTGGCAGGCCTTTGAGAGCTTCTGTATGGCACAACAGGTCCACGTGTGCCAGGAGCAGCTGACAGACACAGTACTCATCTGGAATTCTTTCAGGGGAGCAGCCCATGCCTTTTTCTCTTTTTTAGTTTCACTCCCATTCAGGGGCGTGATGCACCTAGTTTTTTGAGGAGGCACCAGTGACAGTTCTGACTCACTTACATGAGCGTAGGACATGTCAGTCTAGTGAAATTCATTCTGTTTAGGTTCAAATCCTAACTATTTCACTAGAATATTTTCACTAGGCTTGGTGTATAATAACAATACATTTAAAAATATATATATTGTAATAATTTTTACACAATAATAATAAAGTAATATTCTGAAGTATTACAATTTAAAATAACTTTTTAATTTTTCTGTGTTCTATTTTAATATATATATATATATATATATATATATGTGTGTGTGTGTGTGTGTGTGTGTGTGTGTGTGTGTGTGTGTGTGTGTGTGTGTGTGTGTGTGTGTGTGTTTTTTTATTTTTATGTTATTTTATCGATTAATGTGTTGCAGAGCTGAATTTTCAGCAGCCATTACTCCAGTATTCAGTGCTCAATTTGGTGCTAAAGACATATTATAATCAATGTTAAAAACAGTTGCGCTGCTTAATATTTTTGTGAAAGCTGTGATAAATTTTGTTTCAGGACTATATGATTAATATAAAGTACAAAAGAACAGCATTTATTTGAAACAAAAATCTTTTGAAACAGTATAAATGTCTTTACAGTAATTTTTTTTTTTTTACCATTTAATGTGTCCAAGCTGGATAAAAGTATACTTTTTTCTTCCAAAAACAAACTTATCCAAAGTTTAATCCAAACTCTTGAATGGTAGTGCATGTGTATAAAAATTGTATATTATAAATATTAAACGAAAGAGAGATATCATCAAGCGTAAAGAGATATTTTGCATTCAAAATCCAGCCCAAAATGCAAAGGGACATGGGCCTCACCAATCGGAATGGACACAATGTTTGAGTGCTTATAGAAACCGCATCATAGCCAAATCTAAAGGTGCACAACACCTTATACCCCCCTCCAAATGCACACACTCACACAAACCTATCCGCGCCTCCTTCACGGCCTTTCATTTCAGGGCCTCCACTTCAAACACATGAAAGGATGCTCTGCGGGGATCCAGGCGAGAAAGAACAAGGGAGGAAAGAAAGAGAGAATATAAAAGCAGGGCTGTGCGTGGAGAGTTCTGGGGGAGTGTGTCTGGGGGGGGGGGGAAATGGTCAGAAGGGCCTGGCCTCCACCTATGTCAAGGGGTCTTTGGAGCCTCTACTGTATAGAACCTAACACTGCATCAACTCTTCCCGACACACTTCAGAGGCACACACGAGGGGGTGGGGTGAGTGGTGGGGTATAAAGACAGAGCCATAAGGAAGGTGCAGAGATATGAAGAAAGGAAAGAAGCCAGATAGAAAGAAGGCATCTCAAAGGAGAGAGCAGGGAGATAGAGGCACGTGGAGGTAAAGAAGAGAGGAGAAAACACACAGAAACACAGCTGGGGCTGACGCTTTCCTGCGCCAGAGAGGTTTCTCTGAAAACTCACTCCCGAAAAGTCAAAAGCAGCTCTGTGTGAGCAATAGCGCTGAAGAAACAACAACAACAACAAAAAAACAAATAAGAACATCAATTAAAAGTGACTTAAGGACAAAGGGGGGAGGCAAGTAAAATACGAAGGAGTGGGAAGAGAATGTTTGGGACAGACAGCCAGCCAGAACCTGCAAATCTAAACATTAGAAAAGTGTTGAATAAAAATAAATATAAAAGTTTTAAATTATGTAAAAATTAGAAAGTCATTATATATTCACCCTTGCATCATTCCAAACCTGTATTACTTTGGAATAGAAAAAGGAGAATTTTGTAAAAACTTCACTGCAATAAATGGGGAGTGATTGCAGTCACACAAAAAAGGTTATTCTGGCTTCAAAAAGAATGCAAATGCACCATAAAAGCATCATAAGACTGGTCCATACAACTTGTGCATTATATTCAAAGATTTTTGAAGTCATACAATACATTTGTATAAGAAATAAACTGAAATTTAAGTTATTATTTCCTGACAATCTTCCACTCCAGTGAGCTGGAGTCAGTTAGTCAAACCCGAGAACAGAATCAGTCTGATTCATTAAAAAAGGAATACAGTCACGATACTGATATGGTGCTTTTAAATCCTCTTTGGATTTTAAAAAGATCCAACACAAAAATATTATATGCTCACCAATTGGACATTGTTGTCAGTGATCAACAACTTATATTTCTGTCTTTCTGTACTTGAATGATACTTTGAAGGTGCTTTCTGAAACTTGAAAATCTCAGTCCCTGTTGCACTGTAAGTGCATGAAAAAGAATGACCAGTACAACGTCTCATTTTGTGTCATACATATCTGGAATGACACAAGGATGACTAAACAATGACATTTTTGGGTAAACTAAGAAACATCATGGATGTATACAGTAGACCATTGGGTAAAAAGTTGAGAATAGGTATCTCACTCATCAAAGTCCTGGCAGCCAGGCATGCTGGCAGTGGTTGACTGGCACAGCCTTATCGTAGGCTTAGGAGCTCAGCGTGCAGGGGCAAGCCAGCACGCTCGCATTCCTCAGGGGAGGAACAGCACCTTGGCCTGGTGAGTCTGTTTTCAATGGCAACCATTATGAAACCATACACCTGACATTTTTCCAGAAATCTAGGGGAGGAACCGACTGTGACCCCGCAAATCACGCGGCTGCTTTCACTCACTGGATTTCCCACAGACGAGTAAACGCCCTGTCTTTTCTTATCAGCTTCAGATTCCTTTCCACAAATAACCACACCTTTTTTTAGGTGGTTGTGGTGGATGTGAGGAGTAGAGATGGAGAGTGGAAGGAAGTTGAGCTGGGAAAGTGAAAGGGAGGAGTGCGGATGATGAGATGAGAGAAGATTTGACAGAATCGGGGAGGTAATTGTCTGTGAATTCATCCTCAACGTGGTAGAAAAATAGAGAAACTATTAGGTGGAGGTGACAGGAGAGCGCAGCACCACTGTCATAAAATCCCAGACGCGAACGGCACATACAGTGGCACTAATTTCTTACAGATGTACGAGAGGGGCAATTAAACCCTTTATAGCGTTTCCCCCCTTTGGATTTGCAAGCAGTAATTAAGAATCATTACTGATCAAATAAAATTTAAAGTCGTACGCGCTCTGATTTAGCAAGAATGTGAGATTGATTAAATTTATGCTACCAAAATAAAAGTCCATAAAAGCTGGATGCAATTAATGGTTTCTGAGAGAAAAACGTCAACAAGGCTCTAGAGCGCAGTTAAGATGTATCCAAACAAATAAAACAAAATGATGCTCACTAAATTTCGGTTTACAAATCCGCATCCGTTAACCCTGGTATCTCGTCAGTGATCGTAAATTTGAAAAGGCACAAGAAAAAAAGAGCTAAGGAGCCGTTTTCATGGTGTTGGTAATTTAGAGGGTTGGCTTGCAGCCAATCAAAGGGCCAAATCGATCCAGTCGACCTCAGGGCCCAATGGCAGTGTTATTTACAACTGTGTGTGGCAGTAGTCACAGATCACCCACTCTGACATACTACCGTTGGGTGGGCTGAGACCACAAATAGAATTGTCAGTAATCTCCACAGTCGAGCTCTAGCTGTTTGTGTGGTATCCAGGAATAAGTCTACATGGGTAATTAGAGCGGATACAGAAACAAGCTCACACACACACACACACACACACACACATACACAGGTGACGCACACTCACCATGGCTTGGGACGCCCATGTTGTTCACTCTAGCTGTTTGTGTGGTATCCAGGAATAAGTCTACATGGGTAATTAGAGCGGATACAGAAACAAGCTCACACACACACACACACACACACACATACACAGGTGACGCACACTCACCATGGCTTGGGACGCCCATGTTGTTCGCCAGCTGGTACAGGCGCTGCTGCTGCTCCTCAAAAGAGCCATGCTCGTTCAGAGCTGACATCATGCGCCTGTAGTGCTCCTCGGGGGTCATGTGACTGCCCAGCTCCAGCGCAGGCGTGTGAGAGTTCTCTGTGGGATGAGAAGTAGCTAAATTCAATCAGCTGGTCCCAAATTGTGTGATCTTATGTGAGATGTTTGAGCGTTTGAGTGAAGGAGAAGCCTATGTGCGGTTCTCCTTGGTACACTGGGCGGCAGTAACTCAAGCTAGCACATGGGGAGAGATTTTTGGGGGAGAGATGGGGAGGAGGAAGAGAGGTGGAAGGGGGGATATTTTACCCTCCTCACTGAAACCGGAGCTTGGCCCCAGGCAGACGAACAGAAGCAGTGCGGCCCAGCGAAGGGGATGGGGGAGTGTGTTCTTCCAAGCGCCAGATAATCCACCCGAGAGGCTTCAGGTGTGAGTGTGAGTGTGCTCATGTGGATGATGTTTTGAGGCATTGTGAGTATGAACACTTTTGCGCTATATAGGTGTGTGTGTGTGAGAGAGAGAGAGAGAGAAAGAGAGATTTTAAAAGACAATAAGAGAGAGATTTTATGAATGTCTTTATTAGACAGACAGACAGACAGACAGACAGATAGATAGATAGATAGATAGATAGAATTGAATATATTTTAAAATGTAATTTATTCCTGTGAAGGCAAAGCTAAAATCTTGAGTAATAGCTGCTGAAAATTCAGTGTCACATGATCCTTCAGAAATTATTTTTATATGCTGATTTTGTGCTAAAGAAATATTAAATAATCATTATCAATGCTGAAAACATTTGTGCTGCTTAATATGTGTGTGGAAATCAATATAATTTTTTCAGGATTTCTGATGAATAGAGGTCATTTGAAATAGAACTCTTTTGTATCTATTTTGAATTACATTCCATGTGAATTATCCTTCCTTACACACAAATTTGAATTACAACTGTATTTCCTGTTTGCTACCTCATTTCAATTTCACGAAATTTCACGGCATTCTCAATTCAGTTTTGAATGACACACAACCCTTCTCCAGGAGACATGACGGTTCGGATCTGAGGTGTAAAGCTGCTTGTATTACAGTCTGTCGGTGAACAGTCCGTGTTAAGTCCAGCCTTTGCAGATTTTCAGGCTGCTTTGGTCATTAAAGGTAATACCTGCTGCACTGAGATCAGTACTACCCTCCAGCTGTGTGCGTGTATTTCTGTGGCTGTGTTATGCGTTTGGGAGGTAGGACCTCAGACAACAACAGCTGCTACGCTCTCAAACTACACACGTGCACACAAAGGCACACACATTGCTATGTTGTTTGGGTGTGGTGATGGATCACAGACACGCAGACACAAGACATTAGATCAGCGGCATTCCAAAGCCATGCTAATCCACAGCGGGTGACCGACGCAAGCCAACTGTAATTCACAGGACTAAAACACACATAACACCCATTTATCATTCTCGCTGCAGCAGCCGTACTGATTGGCTACACGGTGTCGAGTGAGCAGATAATGCCTCAAAATAAAACGCTGTCCAAACACGAGAGATCTCAGTCAACTGATTATTGGGTGTGGATGTGTTGCGACACATATATACAGATGTCACATACTAGATGCAGTTATGTGAAATTCTATTATTTGAATATTGGATTGTTACAAAAATAGTAATATTTAATTAAATATTGATCAACATTACTTTTTTTGTATTTCAGAATGAGTAATTCCAACCACAGTGAAATCTCATTGGCCCAAATTTCTGTGATTTGGTGTTTGGTAATTTAATGTCCTTGTGACTTTAAATGCAGACCTTGAGCCAAAAACTCATCACTAAACACCAATCACTTGTACATATGGGTACAGCCATTTTAGACACTTCCAAAACTGTTGCAACAGAGCTGGAAATACAATTTTTACATACATGAATTATGTTTCCATCTTTGCTGCCACAGTTTTGGAAGTGCCCTTTTCTGTTCTAAAGAAGGGGATGTCCCAATATGTTTGTCCATATAGTGTATGTACAAGTTATTGGTGTTTGGTGATGAGTTTTTGGCTCAAGGTCTGCATTTAAAGTCATTTAAAGAGGGGTTCAGCTGGGATCAGTCAGACCAGTCAAGTTCTTCCACACTGACTAAATCAATCATTTCTTTTTGAACCTTGCATTATACACAGAGGCATTGTCATGTTAGAATTGAAAAGGGCCCTGTTCTAAACTGTTGCTATAAAATTAGAAGCACACAATTCCCTTTATGCTTAAACATTAAGATTTCTACTCATGGAAATTACTAAAGTCAAACCTGTTCATTAGAAGGGGGTGTCCCAATATTTTTGGCAATACAGTGTATGTAAATGTCTTGCTAAAAACATAAGAGTGAAATATGAATCTCAACAATCATTTTTAACAAAATAACCTCCAACAAAAACAACAATATTGCTATGAGAGTCTGCACCTCATATGAGGACTGGTCACCTTACTGGTCTAAGGAACAGATCCAGATCACTGCCTGCTCAACTCTTCCTGCTAGATGCTTGATTATATTTGACTTGGTGTCACTGAGTCTGCCTGATGTTTCGGCTGCCTGCCTGTTGCGCTGTTTCACCTCATTAGCTCAGCTGGTTGACAATACCCAGGAGCTTCAGCAATTTGCATATTAGATAAATATTAGCTGTAAATATGAGCATGAAGATAGTGATTCTGTGCTCACTTGTAGAATTTTTTCCTTCACCATATGATACAAAAAGTGCCACTACATGTACAAATGATATCCAGACATACAAAAACCTCAAAACCATGGGCTTATCGCACAGATTCAAACATATATTCCTGAAAGGAAAAATAAACCACAATTTTGTTTCCTAGCAGAAGGAGGAAGTCAAGCACCCCTTCCTCCTTACTGTGTCCCTTACTCAATTGCTCATTTTCTCCCCAATAGGCCAATGCAAAATATATTAGAATAATTCTAGTAAATCTGCATTTGTGTCTTTTTTATACCTAGTTGTGCCATGTGGGTTGTCAGTATGAATGTGGGATATGCTATGGGTATGTTCTAGGGCTGTGCGATATGGACAAAAAAAATCGTGATTTCTTGATCAATTTTGCGATTTCGATTTTAATCACGATTTTGACACACACAGACATGCTTTACAGTCATAAATGCATTCAGTATGAATTTGAAACATATTTCCAAAAGAAAACCAATTAAGAGTTTTATCAAGAAGCTGTAACATGTCTCTAGAACAGACATAAGGCAAAATAATCACTAAGTAAAGGTGTAACAAAATGTCTCTAGAATAGACACATGGCAGGAAGAAAAAAAATCCCGTGTCCAGAGATTTTTTTTGCCATGCATTGGTCATAGAGCTATTTGAGGCGTTGCCTTAGATGTTGAACTAGACTTGTTGCGCCAAGTTCACACGTACTCCGTCTGCAGTGCGTATACAGTATGTGTAAGCGGTGCAGAAGCAGCGCAGACTCATTTTGCTTTCGCACAGGATGCGTTTTTTTTTTTTTTCAGGATTGTGTTTTTTGAAAACCAACGTCACTGCACCTGTTTACCAAGAAATTTTGGAGCACTTCATGCTTCCTTCTGCTGACCAGCTTTCTGAAGATATTCACATCCTCAAAAAGAGCAACACATAATCTGTGTCACATTCGAGAGTCTTATTGACTGGAATATTAGTAACTCAATTTTCAACAATACAACTTCAAAATAACTTCAAGTCAGATCGATTCCGAGCATGGAAGTGTGTTAGTAAGAAGGGCAGGAAATAAAAAAAAGAATTAATCCATATAGGTTCTGCTATTGAAGTCTGAATGAACATCTCACTATTTTAAGAACCGAACCGTCTGTATGCATGCATACATGAATTAGCGAATGCTGTACTTGTGAACTCTCTGTAGAGAGCGTGTGAAAAGGTTAGCAGGAGGGGGGAGGAGATGTCTGTCTTCCACTGAGCGTTGTTCTCTCCTCCCTCCTCTTACTATCTGTCCACCCCTTCCCTCCACTCTCGCTCAATCTCGCTCCATCTATTCCCACCTACTCCATCTTACGTACTAAGGTTAAACAGCTCTGATTGAAGTGCATTATCGTCTCCAGCACACATATGCACATGCACACACATGCACGAGAGGGGCCCCTACCTTTAGGTGACACGCTGCGGGACTTCTTGCTGTCAGATGGGCACTCGCTGCTGCTGTTGGGGGAGTAGGCTCTCCTCTTGCCTAGAATGTCATCTGTGGAAAAAAAAGAGAGAGAGAAATAGGTTAGACGGGTTCAGATGCGGTCAGACGGCCCCTAAACCCCTCGACATGCAGCTCGCCGCCTGGCTCTATACCTGCATACATGATGGAGCTGTGAGAGCGACTAAAGATACGAAGAGATGAGAGGGCCCTGCGCCAGCGTGAATGACAGATCTGGTTCTTACTCAGCCATGTGCAGAAACGAGAGATTCTTTAGCCTGCTCTCTCTCTATCTCGAACAAACACACTCTCTCTCTCTTTTCACTCACCCTCACTCTACTGTCGTTTCTTGTCTTGACTATCTCTCCTGGTCTTCACACCGGCCTTAAATGGAGTAAAAGCTCCAGAAATGACAAGACCAGAAAGAAAAAATTTTGAAAAAAGTAAGTGGTCTTGTCTATGTCTTCTATCAAACTCTTGTTGTCATGCTATTACGCCTTTTTGCTTTTTTCACTTACTCTCACTCTCTGTTTTCAGTGAATATAGAGCTCACACCTTTTGCTAATCTCTTCCTTCCTTTCTTTCACTCTTTCTCTCCCTCCCCCTTTTCTCTTTATCTCTCTCTCTCTCTCTCTCTAGAAAAGTGGAGGCTGTCTGCACTAGCCTAATGCAGCGCTCTAGTGAGCCGCTGGTGTCTAGTGTACGATTACAGCACCCTCCTCCCCCAAAACATATCTCAAATCAATATCCTGCTAATCACGCTGGGAGGGGTGCTGCTGAGAGCATGGTGGTGCATGCATGCAGGAAGGAAGAGACCGTTTGTCATTGCACTCTCCTCTCCCTCTCTCACTCTCTCTCTCTCTGCCCTCATGCGCCACATGAAGAAAAAAAGTCAAAGCCACAGGGTTATGCTCTTCCTTTTGTCTTTTGTTGCTGTCTGATTCTTAATCTAAATGGACTGCGCAATAAACTGAGAGGAAACGGATTATACATGTTGCTTGCATTTGAACTTTTATTGTATTTATTGTCTATGGATATCATAAAAAGTTATTTTTAAAACATTTATGGTGCACTGCAGGTGCATAATTTTAAAGCCCTCATAATTCATTATTCATTCATTCAACAAGCGCAGAGATCTTTCTTATATTGACATCTTTCGTATTTAAGGAAATTTGGGTGCAAAAAAGGGACATATCGTTCTATTTGTTATCAAATAAACTTTCCAGTTGGTTGCAGGTATAGAGTGCTACAGTTGGGTTCAATAAGTAAAAATCTCATTCATTTACACCATAATAATTTATAAACTTTTAGAGGCCGATCTACATTGAGCTATGAGGTTGTTCATCAATGTTTTTGTTAAAGCTGTCAGTCTGCATTATTTCAACCTTCACCTAGTGAAAAACTACATTACCCATGATTCTACAAGAAATCTCCACCAATCTGAGAATCAAGACAAGCTAATTGTGCCAAACTCCCATTAAGCACTGCGAATGACATAAAAGGCAATCTCTCTACACTCTTAAACTACTTAAATATTTGTGCATATATATGAATATTTTGCAGTAAACATAAAAATTGTGTTTTTATATACATAAAATCTACTATATTCTTTAAATAAATAGTTTTAATATTTACCTGTCATTATTAATTTGATTGTCATTCACAATGAATCATGGGATTTGCATGGGATTGAGTTATTTACCGCATTAATGCCTTTAAGTACAATGTCTTGTACCTTTGTCTTTTTGTCTGATTTTCAAAGTTTGTAATATTGTGATTCACCTTGTTGCTGGTTGGTTTGGTTCATGGCTTATTAACAAAGACTTTTTTTAAACCCCTATGGGAAAAATTAATGGGAATAAGCTCACAGCTAACACATATAAACTAGAGAGTTGAAAAACTCTCATTTTGATTTCACAAGGTCTTTAAAGGAAGCCATTACTACAGATGACCCTTATGTGTAAGCCATGAATAAAGCTCTACACATCAAAGAAGAGTGAAGGGGGAGATTCTTGCATGGCACAAAACCGAGAGAGCCTGCACCTCTGTATATGTCCGACACAAAAGTACAAACTACTCTCTCACACCCCTGCCTCTCGACACCAAGAGTACTGCTCATCCCTCTCTCTGATAAGAGTGCTGGAAAGAGACACAGAGAGAGAAAGAAAAGCAAGCTTGAAAGAGCTTTTGGAGAGGCAGAGCTCAGTCTGGGATTCTTTGTGGGGAGCGAGCTTTACTAATGACGCTGTTTGATATATTCTCATCGGGGGGAAGGCTGTCTATCCCACTCCAAAGAGAAAAAGGGGCCTCTCTAATGGGCCCCCATCTCCTATCCTAACCTCTGCCCAAAGACAACAACAACACTCCCTCCGTCTGTCTCTCGCTCCACTTTTTCTCCTTTCGTCGGCCTTTGAGGTGAAGAATCTCCCTTGGCGTATTCAATTATTTTCCGCTCTCTATCTTCACGTGGAACTGATACGATTTTTAAGTGTAAAACTATAGCAATCGGCTGCTCCTGTCTATGCATGAGCCAAAAGAGCTCAAATGCCTGCAAAGGATGTGCAAAAACTTCAGATAAGCAGGTAAAGTTTTAGTTTAAAAGGTGTTAAATAATAGGAGTTAAAGGGTGAGTTCACCCAAAAATGAAAACTCTTTCATCATTTACTCACCCCCAATCCTGTATGACTGTCTTTGCTTCTGTTTAACATAAAAGAAGAACAGTATGGTCCCCATTGACTTCCATAGCATTCCATACTGTGGAAGTCAATGGGGAGCCTGCACCTCTGCATGATGACAAAATGTTAATTTTTGGGTGAGCTGTCCCTTTAAAAGGAGCATGAAGGTACCTAAGATGAAAAGGGTTGGGAAACACATACCACAGCACCCTCTGGTTTCTGTAGCAGCTATGTTGAGCCCCTTTCTCTTTCTCTCTGTACGTCTCTGTTTGACCCTAATCTCTCAGCAGTGTCTTTCCCACAGGGCTCAGCCACCCTAGCGCTGCTATCTCCAGCCCAGCCTGTTCTCCAAGCTCCATCGTGTCTTATCAGGCAACCTCCTGCCTGCCAACACTCCCAAAGCCCTGGGCTGAGTCCAGTTCCTCTCCATCTCCATCTCAACCTCCATCTCCATCTCTTTGAAATCAACGGTCCTGAACTGTCACTCATACCTTCAGCTCAAACTCACACAGCGCTCCGTCCCCTGAATCAACCCCCCAAGTGATTAAACACAACCTTTAAAACCTTTAAATTCTCATGATGTGATTTGACAGCACAGGACAGAGTGATTTGCAGTATGAAATGGTTTCGTAAGCAAGAGGGGAAAAGTTTTGGAGCAGGACAGCGTGCCCGTGGCGTCGGCGCAGGCGGAGAGGAAACCTGGCTCCGGACCGCACTCTGTCTGCTCTTAGCACTTCGGTCTCTAGCTGAAGTAATGCACTCAACAAAAGAAGAGAGAGTTCGGGACCATCAGGAGGAAGCCGTTATCCTGCATGGAGGAGCTGGAGGCGGGAAGCGACACTGAATCACTCGCAGTTTTGTTTTCTCCTTATAAACCTCCATGTTAACTGTTCACCCGCTTCTCTCATGCTCCTATCCATTTATTGTTCTCTGTTTGCATGATTTTTACTCATATTTTTAATTTTTTGGTAGTGTATGAAGGAGCCATTTAGATTTAAGAACTTAAATCTTTAAGATCTAAGTTTAGATTTAACTCTTCAGGTATGTTTGTAATAGAACACTAGCATACTTAGTTCACAGTGTGAAATATATACTTCATACTAGCATACTTAGCGCATAATACATACTTTACACTAGCATACTTGGTGTATAGTGCAAAGGATAGTGCATAGTGTGGAGTATATACTAAAACATTTGACAGTCCAAATGAAATGAGTCAAAAAAGCCATAAAATTTAACTTTGTTTTCACTGGAAATGGAAGGTCAAGTTGAGAGTACAGCATCCCACATTACAGTACGTCTCAACATATTTTCCGTTGTATATTGCACATTTTGGAAAAACTATGTTAGTATGCTTTTTCACACATAGCCTTTGGCTGCATTTGGAATAGCATATTAGCATACAACTCAAAAGGCAGAAATAGTAATATGCTAGTTTGCTATTTTCCAAATTAAACCTTAGTCTTTTCTACAAACTTTTAAAGAGTAATTTTTGTAAAAATATGCTATACACACTTTATATACTTCTCTACCCTGAAACTTAGCCCTAATTCAAAAAAATAAATGCAAAAAACAGCTTCAAAGAGCTTCAAAAATCCATCCGCAGCAGTGAGAATACTGCACTCTCTCTGTCTCTCAGTGCGCTCAAGGGAGAGGCAGGGTTTCAGCAGCGCCTGTCTGCCTCAGGGTCACAGATTTTAAGGCGGAAAGCCTTTAATACCAATTAAATGTTGCTTCTTAAAGCTGTGATGCTCACATTTAACACCAAACAGGGAGGCTCGGAGCTGCCTCGTGCCTCAGCCATGTTACCCAACTCACGGAACGGCTTCTGTTGCCAGCGCTGCTGCTAATTCCTTTAAACTCCAGCCTGTGCGGCGCAGAGCCGGGCCAAAACAAGGGCAGAACTTTACTAGAGGTGGGGGGAGAAAAGAGAAGGCTAGATGGATGGAGAAATAGCAAAACGACTAAATAAGCAGAGAAGGAGGCTCTTGGTTTTCTCCTCCTCCTCCCTTTGCTCCTTCCGTCTCTCCGGCTACTGACAAGTTGGACAGGCCACACTCCTTAATTCCCTTTTCTTATTCCCTTAATCTGTCATCTTTATCAGGCAGGGGAAGTGGCGGGCGTCGCGGCGGTGCCTCAACCTCCAATCAATCTCCACATTACAGCTGACAGAATGGTGCTAATAACTTATTGATCCCCCTGTTTGCGGGGCTTGGCCAGAACTGAAGGGATGGCATTGATTGGCTATGGGGGGGGGGGGAGTGAGCAGCACGGCGCTTCCGCCAGCCCAGAGGATTCAGCACCGCCCCCCTCTACTGCCGCTCCCCCACTGAGAGCCTTAGGGGAGAGGCAGACAGAAAGAGAGAGAGACAGAAAATGAGGGAGGGAAACGAGCAGAGAAAAAAGAGAAAGATCAAAATCATGGGAAAAAGAACGAGAAAACAACTGAATGAGGCAAAAAACGCCGCAATTGAGGGAAAACAAAAGACGGGGAGACAAAAGGTGGTTGAGGAAAATGCAAGAAGATGCAAGAAAGGCAGGCGTTCGTGAGAGAATCAACAGAGACAGAAAAAGGAGAAAAAACCCGTATAATTTTGGTTGCGCTGTATGACAACAAATGTGTCAGTGGTGGTGATTTTGCTATACTGTTTATATCATGATATGTACATTTGGGTGGATTTTACTATGCCAGATTGCTTTATGTACATACAGTATAAGAGTAATGAAATAAAATATATATATATATATATATATATATATATATATATATATATATATATATATATATATATATATATTTAACACAAGGTTTTAGGCACTAGACTCCAGAAACTTGTTTTCCTTTTTTGAGCAACATGTGATTTTCCGCAGCTGATGTTGATGTTCATAAAGTTTTATAAAACTAGTTTTCCTGTTTTGAATGTACTATTTTTATCTCAAGCGTTACATAATGTGAAGCTGTTTTTTGCACTGATGTCAGACTTGTTCATTTGTTATGAATAATCTTATCCTTTTTGGCTTGCATCCATCACATCTGTGAGATATTATAATATTATTATAATTTATAGTAACTCTTTTCTATTTTAATATATAATGTAATTTATTTCTACAGAGGCTGAATTTTCTGAATTTCAATGTTGAATCAGTGCTGAAAACAGTTGTGCTACTTAATATTTTTGTGGAAACAGTGTCAAGTCAAGTCAAGTCACCTTTATTTATATAGCGCTTTTAACAATACAGATTGTGTCAAAGCAACTGAACAGTGATATATTGTTTTTCAGGATTCTTTGATGAATAGAACATTTTAAGTACAAACAGCATTTATTCAAAACAGAAATCTAAAAGTAATAATTTCTTACTTTAAATAGTAAAAAATATAAATATCTATAAAAAATATCTTGTTTACACCAATGTTTTTTAATTAATTAATTAATTAATTAATATGAATTAATCTGAAGTTAATAAACTTTTGAAGCAACACTGAAATATTGAGCAGCTATAACGGTTTTTATCATTAATAATTTTCACCATTAATAAGAAATGTTTCTTGAGCACCAAATCTGCATATTAGAATGATGAAGGATCATGTGACACTGAAGATTGAGGTCTTTTTATATATATTTATTGAATATATAATTGAATATTTTATTTTTATTTTCAGTTTTATCCAAAGTGATTTACAGTGCATTGGGCTATGGCCCACCCATAGATATAATGATGGTCGTGCACAGGACAAGTAGACTTGTAGGGGTGGGGAAACAAACATCACTGACAGGACACTTTAATTGCAGTATAAACACGTAAATGCTGCATCTTGAGAAGATTTAGATTATAACATACAAATTCAGGGAATCTACGCCTATTCGCTGGTCCAGATATACAGCAGCCTCGCGCAGACGCTCCTGTCTGCCTTTAGGAAACCATGAGAGTGGCAGGAAGGGAGGGAAAAAAAGCAAAAACACCTTATATGCCTATTAAGAGTCTCTGGTCTGACCGCAAAGCCACGTTTAGGAGTCTACACAGAGAGCCAGACGATCTGCCGGCGCCCTGCCCTCCCCCCCATCCCTCGCTGGGGCCAGCAGGCCGGCCGGCCGGCCGGACGGAGCGGTGGGGGGGAAGGGAGCCGCCTCTCCTCCATTGCTGACTGGCTGCGGCTGACGCCTGGGTCAGCTCTCATGTCTGTCCCTCAGATTTAATTAACGGGCCTTTCCAGTGCAAAGCAACCCCAGCGCGGCAGTCGGCTTCCTCTTCCTCCGCCTGTCTCGAGACTCCACACTGCAGTCCACCCTCCCTTGATACCATACGACGCTCTGCTCGTTCATTTGTTCTGCACTTTTCCAACCTTTTCTTCTCTCTCTCTCGCTCAACCACATACCCACAGAAGTCAGACTTGAAAGGAAGTAAAAGAGACTGTGTGACGGAACAAAAAAAGCTGTTGGAGTCTCGCAGCTGAACATGGAAAAATGAACACTTGCGTCTGCTTTGATTCAAGCTTATATAAGGTCAACCTTTAATGCTACATCCAACATGCTGTGTCTTGCAGCATCATGTGGCCAAATGTGAAATTTAATAAATGTGCATCTTTCTGATCATGAGAAAAACGCACTTCCAAATGGGCCTGTTCTATCCATTCGACCCCTAACCTGGCCCAGGGACGGTGGCTCTCTAATTTCACTGGCAGACAGAATTAGACGCGCTGCGTGATCGGATTGGACTTGTTTACAGACATGAGTCTAGCTGCTTAAAGCACCCGTTAAACCTCTTTTAAACGCTCAAACTGACAGATTTTGGTCATCAGCCACGCTGCAGGTGGCTTCCGCTCTTATTCCTTTGTGTCTTCTCCAATTAAGATTACGATTAATTGAGCATCTTCCATTCGGGTAATGGCTAATTGTACTGGTCTTGTTTTTAAGCCAACCCTTAGATCTCCAGTCTAGTATAAACCTAGAGCCTGGTAAAGGTGATTTGATCCACATTTGGAGCCATACGATCAGAGAGATATAGAGGACTGGGACAGTCACTTAAGACTTTGTTATGCTCGACCGATGCTAATGTAATAGGATTTAGACACATATATTCACATATGGCCATTTTACCAGAAACCCATAGGATCCATAGTATGACTTGACTGTGCGGTATTTACTACAACTTAAACCGCTCAAATTAATTTGAACTAAAAATAAAAAAATATTTATTATTATTTAATCATTACTATTTAATTATTTAATAAAAACTATTTAATATATTTTTAGTGCTAATTATAAAATTTCTAAATTAAAAAAAGTGAAATCTAAGGATGTCTAACTTTAAGCAATTAGTGATAGTGATAGTCATTTGCAGACTTGAAAAAAAGTATATTTAAAAAAAATTCAATAACATTTAAAAATATATATATATCATTAACATTAACATAAATCTTAAACCAACACATTAAACCACACAGGTCAAAATTACTCAAGCTGTGGGTGACTATGTGGTTCAGACTTGCTATGAAAAAGTATTATTTAAATAAAATAAAATTAATAACAATAAAAGTATAAACTATTAAAAATAAATGGCAAAAAATTGGTATTAAAATAAAAAACTGTAATAAATAAATACTTTTTAAAAAAAAATTTAATATTTACATGCAACATAAATCTTCAAAAAACATTAAAGCCTAGGTGTAAAACCAGACAGGTCAAAATTACTTAACCTGTGGGTGACCATGTGGTTCAGAGAACCAATGAGATTAGCACACAGCATGTCCGGTAGTCCTTCTGTTTGGTCCGAGATTAATGACAAATAAAGCTATTTACTGAGAGTAGTTTTAACGGTGGTTTAAGTTGGGTGCTAAGAGAGGCGAAGACAAGAGCATTAAGTAATGGAATGAATATGGCCACAATGGAGCGAGTAATGAGCTTACAGCCCTCAATCATGCAAATTAAACCGAATTAAAATACTAGCACGCAATCAGTGTAATTGTTCTACATCAATCAAAGGATAAACCCTGTAAAAACAGAGTATGATGGCAATAAAACAGAATATTATACACAGAGAAAGCCACAGAAGCAATTACAACGATAATTCAAGACTATAGGTCAGATACTGCACATTTCACAGATTTGACAAGTGTGTATCATAATCATAAAAGCATTTTTGGCTACTTCACCCAGACCACTTCCTATGTGTTTTCTTTTGCTCTATACATATGTTTTCACTTTATATCCATAATCACATGGATAATAACATAGCAGAACATTCATGTGTGAATGTGTCTCAGGTGCGCTGTCTCTAGGTGTGTCCTACCTGAGTGTGCGGAGGCGAGTCTGAGGTCGGAGCAGGGCTGGCCCTCGGGCATGCCGTGCTGTCGGGTGTGGTGCAGGTTGGAGATGATCGCTGAGAGGTCACTGTCACGACTGGAAAAAGGAAAGCAGAAGAGGGAAGAAAGAAAAGGAGAAAGACAGAAAGCAAGAAGAAGGGAGAGAAAGAGAGAGAGGAAGGGTAAATATCTCTAGGGATTCTTAATCACAGATTCATAACGCATAGCAACACACTCACACATTTAGCATACCAGGATTTAAAAAAGAAAAAAAAGTTCAATACAGAAAAATGACAAATTCTGCCCAATTAAACTGAAATGATCAAACTTACCAATTATACATAAGGAGAACGATGCATAAAGTATACAAAAAGTAAACCCAACGTAATTCCACCACAAACAACCTCAACTGAATCAAACACGGTCGACCTGGTGCACTCCGGTTTGGTCCCTTGAAGCTGAAACGCTCTCTGCCTTTGGCTCTTTTGCCTCGCTTCTGCATTCATTGTCTTTTGGATTTTAAGCGTATAATGAGCGCTGACAGATTCCTGCGTCAAGCAATTTTGAGTTTCATCCAGTCTCATCTTCAACCTTAAGATGTTCTTATCAACACATTCAACTCATAAGCAGTTTATGAGCTTAAACCAGGTGATTATGGTTTTTATGATCGCTCTGCTGAAATCGTTCGGGTCTCTGGAGGCGCACGAGGCGCGGGATGAGTGTAATCTCTAGAGATCTGCCATTTCATAAAGGAACCCGATAAGTGGTGAATAAAAGCCGCTGGTTTACCATTCAACATGAGCGTGCGGATTTAGAAATTAGAATGGATAATTACATTTGTATGTAATTCCGGCTATATTTAAGGAAGCACTTATGCTCTGGTGTCATACGCAAGCTCGTAACTGCAACCAGAGAACCAATCCTGTCAGCTGTTTTGGACAGGTGAAGAAACCAATGAATATTTAGCTTAAGAAACCCCAAGGCCCTATTAATATATACTTAAAGTTATCTTACAGTAACTTCAACTTTTAGTTTCAACTTGATATAATGTTTCAAACTTTATCTATAAGAAATATTATATGATTTGATTCAAAGACCCCAGCTATCCACACAAGGTCACATTTGACATTTGTTTGGAATGATTTAATTGTATACATTTTTGCCAGAGTAAAACTGGCCCCACAAAGAATCAATATTATCTTGCTAATATTGTATACTAATAATATCTGTTAAATGGGGCTTTAATTAGGTCAAAGGAACCTATTAAAACAAATTAAATGGAAAATATCAGTTTTATTTCATAAAATGTTAATATAATTTATAATTGTTTACACATAAATCATTCACTCTTTTAATTGTTTTATTTTTATATTTATTTTTAATATTGTATTTTATTATCTTCTTTTAATAATGTTCACACATGATTCATATACACATGAAACATGAAGAAAGAGAGTTAAAACTCTTCGTAGAAAGATAAACTGATCCCAGGCCAGGACCGATATTCACGCCGCACACTTGTCTTCCTCTTCCAGGTCGTCTCTTCAAGGCCAACTGAAGGGTTTACAGATTAGAACTGGACAAGGCAGTCCCCTCAACCTCCCTTCCTGCCTCCTTCCCCCTCTCATCCTTCCTCACTCATCCTTCATTAACCCTTGTAAGTCCTGCTTGGGCCATGTTGTCTCTATAGAGACTGATAGAAGAAGTGTGTCATGGAAGTATTTGAATGCAATCTGATTACAGCTCTGATCGCATTATAATGCATAATAATTTCAAATTCCCGATTAGCATTTAGAAGTATTTGAATGCATATCTCGCAGCGCCTGGCGGTCTATGGGGCGCACTAATGTCAAGAGAGTTCTGAGGGACATTTTACGGGCTGTCACAGGACAGTCTCACGATCTGCTGTGTTTCTGTGGTGGGCCCGTGGCTCTGCTGTTTGTGGCAGTCGAAATGCTAGTTTTACAGTCCATAGATTACAGGCTGGGCTTCAGTAATGTCAGCCTGCCACGCTTTCAGTTCAGCTACAAACAACACAGCACGTACAGGAATTTATTCTCCATGACCGAACTGGGCTGCAAATTCATTTGCCATTCCGAGAATCCAGATGTCTGACAGAAATGCCATTGGTCGAGTGTACAACACAAGATCAGATGCATGATACTTATAAATATTACAGCATTCAGTAAGCAAAAAAATGCTGGACAAATTAGGATATTATCTTAAATGCAACTTAAGTTAATATTGTAATGGGTTAAATGATCATGAGCCATGTTAAATGCAAATTATTAGAAATTATGAAAAAAGTAATACATAAATTATATATAAAATTATATTTTACATGTTTAATTTAAAAATACTACTTTTTTAAAAAAAATAATGAAACATAATACATTTAGATATAAATATTATAAATATATATAAACAAAAGACATTGTTACTAATATAGACAATGAATACACACAATGCAGCGAAAGCACAATCATTCACTACATTTACATGAATAAAAATCTATGATCAGAAAACTCATATTTCATTGAGGCTGGAAAACTCCCAGATAAATACAAAGATAAATGAGACTGAAATAAATCTATAAAAGAAACATTAATTCCCTGCAAAATATACAAAGTGATTTGACAGAATATGCTACATTTATACAAGTTGCACCATACAAAAAACACAAACAACCTAAACAGCTCAAGCTCTAGTAGAAAACTCTTTTTAAACAGCATTTAGATTTAAATGTTATTCAGAATTTGACGTTTGTCTATTCTAATTTGTCAACAGCACTATAAAATATTAAAAACTTGCATGAAACTATGCTACTCCGCGCAGCGCAAAGGTCCATTTAACCTTTATCTAGGAAACAACTCTGCCGTTCTCTATAGGTCATCCAAGTTCCCCCATCCATCCCCTTAACAGGGCATCAGTCCAAACAACAGCTCCATCTTCCAGCTCCCGCTCTGGCAGCTAAGGAAGGCTATTATCCTCGGACGGAGGCTCTGCAGTGAGCTCACTAAGCAAGGACATTGTTAGCAGGTTAATTAGCACACTTTTTCTGGGCTGTCCCGGTGAGGGCCGCTAATGAGGCCTCCCACGACTGGCGGCCAAGGTCATAATCTGCGTCAGGGCTGGAGCTAAGACCCAGCCGCCTGAGTCAGCGAACCCACACAGGGGAGCACAGGACGGACCTGACAACTCTGCTTAGGACATGAGCTGCAGCTTATCGCACAGTGAAGACGATCAGCATAATCTCCATCTAAACTGGTCAATACCTCTTACACCTCCCCGTCAACTGCACAGACACTTTGCCCCAGATATGACCCACTGAAAGAGGACATGCACTGGGCATGACCAAAAAAAACCCAAAAATAACATGCAACAAATCGGGACCTGATGACTCTACAGTGACTAGTTAAAAAAGGCTTACAAAATAGCAATATTTAATGCCATAAATAAAATTGAAAAAAATATTTTATACTAGGAAAAGTTGTATATTGTAATAATCTATAGTACATTTGACACTAACTATATATACAGTATATATATATATATATATATATATATATATATATATATATATATATATATATATAT